GCCATGCCACTTTGTGTTGCTCTGCTGTGCCATAACAATGACAATGTCATATCCTAGCATTTTGATTGGAAGAGGGATTGTGGAAGGGAAGAATTATACCCAAACCCCCTCATCCTAGTTCCCCTACACCAGTAACATAAAACATATGWAGCATATAAATGATTAAAATTGTCTGCTTCCAGATGAATTCACGAATTATTGTCAGGACATAGCATCAACATCAGCCTGGGGAGGTCATTTGGAAGTAAGTGCATATTTTTATTATCATACTCTTAGTAACTGAATGATAATTTACTGTGTTATTGGTGCTTGAGTTTACAAACAACCTGATCAAAAAGGGTTGGTTTCCTAATATGCAGCCTCTATGAGTGTGGCGTGACAACACTAATAGCGGCTGCGTAGGAGGCTAACAAAGGGTGCACCTCTCCTGTTTCCTGAATTTGACAATGGGTACATATAAAATCTTGATTGTTTTCCTCTTTTTTTTCCTCTCATTTTTAGCTACAAGCCTTGTCACATATTCTTCGGATGCCCATTGAGGTGGTCCAGGCTGATGCATCGATCATTAGAATAGGAGAAGAGTTTGACACAAACCCTTTATTATTGTCGTAAGTGTGAAAAATTCATTTTTTAGGCACTCTACTTTTAGCTTCCATGAAACAAATTTCCAAATTCAGGAGTTATTTTTTGTTTGACAGAAGCCAAAAACCCAGTCGTCKTTGGCTGTGTTGGTCACATATATCATGGAAATAGTTGTAATGATTTATAACCTATTATCTTTCCTTTCATAGTTACCACCATCATGCCTATGGGCTTGGAGAGCATTATAACTCACTCATCCCTGTAACTAGTGAAGAACAACAGAGCTACTAGCAAACGTGTAACAAATAAAATACAAATAAAATACATTGTGCTATGCCCTGCACCTATGGTCTTGGAGAGCAGTATTAATAACTCACTCATTCCTGTAACTAGTGAAGAACAACAGAGCTAGAAAACATGTAACAATAATAATATAAATAAAATACATTGTGCTATGCCCTGTACCTATAGGCTTGGAGAGCAGTATTAATAACTCACTCATTCCTGTAACTAGTGAAGAACAACAGAGCTAGCAAACATGTAACAATAATAATATAAATAAAATACATTGTGCTATGCCCTGTACCTATGGGCTTGGAGAGCATTATAACTCACTCATCCCTGTAACTAGTGAAGAACAACAGAGCTAGCAAAYATGTAACAATTATTAGATTACAGGTATAATATACTGTGCTGTAGGCCATACCAATACCACTTCCTCAATTTTGGACTTTCTTTTTGACAACTTTGAATTGTGCTCTTTACAGCCAACCAATTAGGGTACAGTGCTTTACTTTCATTAGACTTGAAACAAATYGACCACTCTTGCAGTAAAGATATAGAGATTTTTCAATATTGTTACATCRTTGACAAACTCTGCCTTTAGAGTATCAAAACATCAATGAAAGCGAAGCGCCACAATCAAAAACCTGTGGAAGTGTTTGTTATGGTACATAGCACAGGAACATGACAAAAAATTGCAATCTTGTTCAATATGAACATCAAATATATCAAAATATCTAGCCAGAAAAAATCTTACAGGAATTACATTACCCTTTGACAGGAGCTAAGAGTATGATCTCTTCATCTATAAAACAGTGGTATTAATTTTGTGCACTCAAATTATAGCAAGGCTGTCGTATGAAATAGTGCAAATAATGACTATTTCTTTTTCATTTCATCAGTGATTTGGTTTCTTTAATTAAACCTGTAAAATTATGTCCCAATTGCCCTATTTCATAAATCATGGTTTGTTTACATCGGCTAAAATGATAGAAATTTAAGCTTAATTCTCTTCTTTCGAGATATTTAGCGTAATATTTAGTTGTTCTTGTCTTCGCAAGCTCATAAACCAAATTTCATTGTGATTTAAGATATGTTGTTGTCAATCCATCCCCCTCCAACAAGCATGATCCCGGCATAAAACAATAGCTTGTTTTGATGTGACATCATTATGAAGTAGGCCAATTCTGTCCTCCAGAATTCTAAGCTAAAAAGCCTTAAAATTAAATTAATCATGCCGACGTAATTTTGATACCAAGGCAAAATACAGTTTATTGAATTGATTCAGTACACTATACTGTACAGCCAAGAAAATAATCATGATAAAATTAATATTAATCTAAGGTAGAGATAACACACAAACCTGTGAAAAAGTACAAAAAAAAACTAAATAGCTTAGTATTAGTAAGAGTGATTTTATTATTACTAGGCACAAAAGAAACAATGTCATATATGATTAGAGAGATTTTACTTGGCTCATTAAACAAAATTGTACAATAATATTAGTGAATAAGAGGCAAAAACAAGAGAGCATAATGAAATTTGTTATACTTGTTATGCTATGTGTATGCTTACTATTCGTTCACAGGCCAAGTAAAATCACTAATAATTTGTTTCCTTAATATATTTTTTTTGTTTAGATATTACTAAAAAGTACTACTTAGTACCAATTGTTTTGTACTTTTTCATGCGTTTATTTAGAATAACAGCATTTAAACTGTAAAAGATAAAATGTTAGTCAATATGTAATAGTCAAATAGACACAAAAGAAAGCAATGCAATCAAGGTCTATTAATGTATTAGTCTAATAATCTATTTTACGGATATAGTGACTTCATGCTATTACTGTCAATCATTATAAAGCATTCCAATGATCGTGTGCATGTTACGGCACCCTCCATCTTGGTTGACCATAACAAAGCATCCCTCATTTGCTTCTTAGATCAATAGCGCAGCACAACCGTGACGTCATAAAATAAACGAAGACAAAGGCGAAATTTGGACAAACAAACTTACAAGTTTACTTTCAGCAGATAATTCTCACTGCCGATCGCAGTTGATCTTTTTACATGGGTTATTATTGTAACTTTAAGTAAAAATAATAAAATCAGTTTGTATAATCCTCGTAGCGGTTTGTCCGAATCTTTAAGCTATTTTTAGAATCAGTGCGCTGTGCTATTCAACCAACATGGCGGTTGTTTCATTCTTATTCATATCTCAAGGGATTTCAAGTCACATGTTTGCACACACTGTATTAGGCTATTCAATAAATTTCCAAACCATTTCATGTCAATCATGGTGATGTATCAAAATGCTTTGCAGAGATAAATATTTAATATTTAAGTTCATTTTATCTAGTGATCAACAGTTGACCAGTTTCCCCAGTCCTCCCACTTGGTATCAAACTTGGAAGTGTGGTCTGGTTTCAAGTAAAAATGTATATTGTTAATTTTAAATAAGCCTGAAGCGAGATGACATTTTACCCTCATCTCTAGACCATAATCCTTTTCGCACTGAGCTTTTGTTCTTTAATTATGACTATTGTTCCTGTATTCTCTAAGGAATCAAAAATTTTAATATGAAAGAATTTTAAAAACTATTATGGTATAGAGTCGGGGGTAAAACGTCATCTCGCTTCAGGCTTATTATCATGCCTCTTGTGAGGTTGTTTGAACCCAAGCTAGACCAGAATGCATCTTGCTTATCAAACTTGTGAGTAGACCAGAATGACAAGGGTATGTAACACCCTTCAGGCACTAAAATATATCTTTCCATAATTATGAAAATATTTGCTACTGTAAAGGTTTAAGGTGACTGCCTACTTTTGGAAATTGATTTAACCTTTTTTTTAAACTTCCCGAATTGAAATTTAATGCTGATTCCAAATCTGGAAAGAAAAGTAGGGTGTCCCAAGCTCATTTTTGAGATAATCAGCATTTAATGGAAGCCTATGCATGAGCTTTTGGGGTAAAAATTGCGCCACCGGAAGTGATTAGAAAAAAGTTAAGATTCATAAGATAATAGTTATTTGCAGACTATATGATTGCACCAATGAATGCTAGTCAATCATTCTACAATAATATATGGATATTTTCGACAAAAAGACAAAGAGATACATTGATTGGTCATATTTTGTAGTTTCAGTGCTCTTAAAAAATCTCATAAAGTCAAATCAAATCTCAAAAATCCCTACAAAAATCTATTTTTTCATGTGTTACTGATTTAAACTTTTTCTAAAATGTTGATAGATTTTTAGGAGTTTTTACGAATGAGCTATTAAAAAATAGAGTGTCCCGTCCAAAATTTGAGGATTTTGCCCTGTTGAAGCTCAAAACGCATATGGTTCTATGAGGCAGTCACCTTAATAGAGTAATTTTTGGACATTTTTATGGCTTGATTTTTTATTAGGATTGTACATTGTTGCCTTCAGAAATAATTTTCTAATTTTTATCTTTATTGTTCTCATCGTCTGYTGGTTTTTGACCATCTTCCGGCTTCATTGCAGGGAAAAATAAAACTTCCTATAAAAGAAATGACAAAAAATAGTAAATATTTTATTCTCAACCACATGTACAATCAAAAATATAAATCTTCCTATAAAACAAATGTATTAAAACATGATTTTAAAAAAACACATTAAATCAGTCACCCAGGAGAAAAGCCTGTAAATAGGATACAGAATGGTTCTCATTTGAATTTGGAATTTTTCTTGATCAAACTCTACACTCCAATCTCATAATTCTTAGTAGACAGAACGTAAAATTATATTCCTTGGATAACGTTTTAAGCACCATTTACGACAATGCAGTGAACTACATATGAAACATGTTTATCAATTTTGTTGTTAACTTTTGCTTTAATATGCTATGATTTTTCTAAAGAGCACAGTGTTCTCGTTTGAAATGAACAATGTTTTAGTTGATACAAACAAAGGTTCAGGAGTTACAAGGGCAGATCCAGCCAAAATTTTTGGGGGGGGCTAATATAGTTTGGGGGGGCTAATTGAGTTACTTCCGTAAACACAATGTAAAAATATAAAAAAAGCATCTTATTTTTCAGTTTTGTTTTGTATTTTTTGTTTTCCTGCTGAAGAGGGGCTTCAGCCCCCCTTTGCCCCCC